GAGCTGCTGTGGGCCCCTGTATATTGTGGGGCGCAGGGTATTTACCCTGTGGTAAAGATAGCTCTGCAAACAGCTAAATATACATATAAGTGAGCTGTTTTTACCTGTCAAAGGATTTGTATTTTTGTCCATCCTGTCCTGACATTTACAGAGCTCTGCTGCACAGCACAGCCGTATCTGGCAGGGCAAGAGACCTGAAATGCTCATCTCCCTGTCATTCAGCGCTGTCCTGCTATCAGCACGCCCCTTGTTAGCACATGAGCAATTTAGCACCACTGTCCACTTCCATGTGCTGCTTCTCCCTCCCCCAGTCTGAGCTCTGCTGTACATGGGGTTTACAAAAGACATACATTTACAATGACAATCAAGAAACATAAAAATGCAAAATTTAGCTTTAGGATTATCTCTAGCAGAATTCAGGACTCTACTACACGGTAATGTTTTATGCCTTTGTTTTTTTGTTTCAAACCTAATCTAATTTTACAATAAAATATTTCCGTACTCACCATTCAGATGAAGGAGATAAAAGCAAATCACATAAACAATCATTGTTCAGTCCTGTCACAAAACCTGAACACTTATGCAGTGTGAGGTTATGGATCCCCATCTAATAGTCTGATGGTAGTTGTGGTCAGCTGCGTCCTCCTACAAACATTGCATGAAGCAAGATCTGTTTATTATCGCTGCTACTGAACCACAAAGTAACAGAAACCACCATGTCACATCATGTCACATACTACACGTCTGTAAACTCCGTTTTGACTTTTCTGCTGGTTCTCTGCTACCTCTGCTCATGTAACAGGACAGTAGGTGTCCGGAGCAGATGGGGCACTTTATACGGAAGCTGAGAAGTGACAGAAGACCTTACACTTTGCTGCTTTTCAAAGAAACAGAGAACATTAGGCCAGTGCCAAGTTATTAGGTTGACTGCAAAGCGTGTGTGTGTGTGTTTGTGTGCGTGCGTGCGTGTGTAGGAAGAAGTTTTACAAAAAATGAGAACACAAATTTAAAAAGTTGGTGAAGACTGACTTGCACAGATGCTACCGTCTCTTCTAGCTTCAGGGTACAGAAGAGACAGTCTCTGCTCCATGTGTTGCAAGTGAAGAAAGGCCTGGTGTGGGAAGGGTTGATCTACACAAGGGGTGGGCAAACTCTGACACTCCAGCTGTGTTGCAACTGCAAATCCCATTAGGCACTGTAAGACTGACAGCCACAGACATGACTCCAAGAGGCAAATGCTTGATGAGAATTGTACTTTCACCAGAGCTAGAGGGCTAGTTTGCCTACCTCTGGTCTACACCCTCATTTAAAGTGCCTTATATCTGTCTGCTTTGTACAAAAGTGCACACTCTTTCCTAGCAGGCGTTCACAATCATACTTTTGAGCACAGAGGTGACCACACAAATGCTATTTTGCAACTACATGGATCATTGCCAAAACATTGCACGCTACAAGCTTACCTTCTCCTACTGCTTTCTGTTTAAACACATCACTCAGCCCTGAGGAAGGGGACACTGATCCCTGAAACATGTCAGTTAGCTTTAGATAAAATATTCTATTTTTCAGCTTGTGCTTTCTGAATAGACTGGAGCACTTATGATTCCATGCTTCTTTGGATCAGCACATACTGGAGTGTCCTCCAGAACTCTAAATTGATCTAAGCAGCCTGCTACCTGGACCCAATGATAACGCAACCTGTGCCTCCAAGCGCTCATCTACTTTCTAAACAATATAGAAGATGATTAAAGGGCAATCATTTTACTTTTATATAATGATAGTTCAGTGCTAAAGAAAACAATGGTTCAAAATATAAATATTGTGGCATTGCGTGGCAATACCACTGTGTTATGTGGCCTCCAAATCTCCATATTGTTGCTAAGGGAGAAAGCTGTCCTCCGAAGTATTTCCATGGGCATCCTACAGATCCTAAACCCTCTCTCTCCTGTTGAAACTTGCAAATACTGTAAGTATCCCAAAAGAACCCTAAGACTCGAGACATTCTGTCCGTGAGTGTCGGTGTGCTGTTGCTGATCAAAGGGGACCGGTAGCTGGAACAAACAGGTAGGAGAACCCTATTTCATATTCAGCGGCTCCTTCGGGGGTGAGCGCTACACTATACTATACTATACTACAACAAATACAAAAACATTGTCCATAAACAAGATATTGTATAGAGTCCAGTGTAGAAACGATAATAATACTGTGCTGTGATCTTGTTATTATGGGTGTGTCTCAGTGCTTCACTCCACGCATCCAAATGATCAATTAATGAACTTTCAATGCAAAGCCGTGCTCCGGTATCCACACTTAGTTCTGCTCACCTTCTAATGTGGACCATAACCAATATATTTTAGTATGGTCACTCGAGCCTTCCCACACACTGCGGGGACAATGATCCGCTTCACCAGTACAAGATATCTCGTGGCTCCTCTGATCATACCACGCTCAGAAGAGAAGATGAAGACACATACAGTGTAGTCCCGTTTTAAAACCATTTATTCAAAAACAAAAAGTTACTGACATATAAAATTCTATTCTCTGACCCGATCCTGACAGTGATCCACCGTCCACACAACCAGAAATATAAGGAAGACTGCTCCCGATGTAACCAAACAGCCAGTGTTCTCACCGCCGATCACCAAGTGTCTCCTCACACTTCTAGGGATAACGTTGCAAAGCTCCACCCCCTACATGTTACTTCATCAAAACTTCATCAGGGGGGTGGAGCTTGTCAACTAAGAGTGGTTATTTATACCCCTCAGCTCCCCCTATCTCCATGACAACTGAGTAACAATAAAACTCATAGAAGGTATGCCTGTGAAGTTTCTCATTCATCCAGGTCATGTATAGCTGCTAAAAATAAGTCAAGGCAACTCGACTTGCTGTATTTTTCTTGAAGATGTTTCACTGGTTATCCAACCAGCTTTCTCAATTCAGAATGACAAAAATTCTCTGGGAATAAATATGGTGTATATGGCCCTTAAAACTTGCGGGTATCCAGACTAGGCTTTTATCAAAACAGAAAGAAGAGGAAAGAATGCCAAGAGTACCAGTGAGGGTGAAAAGCTGACAAATGGAAGAATTTCGTCATCCCATATGTAGCGGGGGTGTCTGAGAAACTCAGAAGGATTTTTATAAAACATCACCTCCCTGTCTGCTTTAAACCGAGCAATACACTGAGGCAACAACTGGTTCACCCAAAAGACCCAACGCCAAAACACAAGATGAACGACATTGTGTATGCAGTCCAGTGCAGTGAGGAGTGCTCAGAATTGTATGTCGGTGAAACAAAACAGCAGCTACACCAGCGTATGGCACAGCATGGAAGAGCCAAACCCTCTGGTCAGGATTCGGCAGTATACCTACATCTTAATGCTGGGCACACACACCTTACAACCATCGCAAGACCTTTGTCTTGCGATGGTTGTAAGGTAATTAATAAAACGTACGATCTGCCCATCTTGGACAGGCAGATCGTACTTCCACACACCTTACGATAATCGTACGAGCATTGGATTTCCCGCGATTATCGTACGATTATCGTAAGGTGTGTGGGCACCCTAAAGGAAAAGGGTCACTCCTTTGAGGTGTGAAAGAGGCCATTTATGTAAAAATGGAGAAGCCAAGCTTGAATAGAGGTGGGGGGTGAGACATCTATTGTCTGCCACATACAATGCTTTTTTAACACCTCTCTCTGGGCAGGTTATTAACACCTCCTAACTCCAATTATGCAAATGCAATCAACACATGGTTGTGACTAACAGATCATGTGGATTGGAGCAACATTCAACATATGTATTCCCAGATAATTTTTGTACAAGTCATTCTGAATTGAGAAAGCCGGTTGGATGACCAGTGAAACCTCCTAGGGCAAGAAAAATACAGCAAGTCCAGTTGCCTTGACTTATTTTTTACAGATATATCATAGAAGATAATTTATCAAAACTGGAGCAGACAAAATCTGGAGCAGCTGTGCATGGCAACCAATCAGCTTCCCTGTTCCATTTTATAATCTTAACTGAACAAACTGGAGATAGAAGCTGATTGATTGCCATGCACAGCTGCTCCAGATTTTTTTCTGCTTCAGTTTTATATGGGAGTCAAATTCCCCCCATAGAGCAGAAACAATATGCAATATTCGAGAAAGGTATGCACTGTGAGAAAAAAGGTGTACACAGTGCGGAAAAGGTATGCACTGTTCAAGAATATAAAAAACTAGGGCTGCACTGATATAATTTTTTCCACACCGAGTACAAGTACCGATACTTTTCCCCAAGTACTCGCGGATACCAATTACCGATACCTTTTGCTTACCTTTCCGGTTTTATTACCTGTCATATCACCGGGTGATCCTTCCTGTAACATTCTACCTGTCCTAGAGCGACAGCACTCACTCACTCAACAGTAGCTATAGAAGAGTTGTCACATTAGGCAGGAAGTGTGCTACGACTACAGAACACATCTCCTCTTCTCATGTTGATAACATAATGTGAGATGTTATGCAGCTCACAGAGGAAAACTAGACCATGTTGATAACACCGTTTGGGACAACAGTACACAGGACAGGATCATTAGATTTCTGGCAGGATCAACAGGTATTTTTGGCTCTTCACATCAAACAGATTAAAAAAAACACTTCCAATGGTATCTTTAACAAATCAAAAGGGAGCAAATAAGAGAAGTTCACTGTTAAGGTTTATATATATTTATACTGTAATGCGGCAGAAAGCTTTTGGTATAACGTTTTAATTTTTTGTTCTATCCTCTGTAGACTTTGTGCAGAAAACCTTTTAAACCAGTTCAAGGCGTGAACAAGACATCTAAAAGGGTGATATATGTTTAAAGGTTTTCTCCACATCATCATCTTCTGTAAAAGTGCCCAAGCGCTGTCACAAGAATCCATATAGC